AAATGGAAATAAGAACTATGAAGGCAATTAATGCAGAGACCCACCAGCTAGCACCCCTGCTCAGCCACAAGAACATCCCAACCGAAGTGAAATCCAAGCTCATCAACAGCATCTTCATCATACCAACATAAACATACCAGTTCCAAACATGGTCTCTAAAAAAAGGCACAAGAAAGAAAAATCAATGCATGCGAAATAAGGTGTCTCCGCAAAACCATCAACGTCACCAGAAGAGACCGCATAAGAAACGAAACCTAAACCTTACGTCTGCAAACTGGAATACCACCAGTAATAAAATTCATAGAGTGTCAAAGAGTCAAATGGTTTGGACATCTAACCAGAATGCCCCAGAAACAACTAACGGCTAAAGCTTACAACACCCGAGAATCTAGCTTCAAATCAAAAGGAAGACCAAGAAAGACCTTACTGGATGGGGTTAAAAAGGTCCGGGAACAACATAATCTATCACGGACGCTACAAACCTAGCACAGGACCAAAACTTGCACCTCCCCTTTACTACATCCTAAGGATTCCAGAGGAAGCAAAAAGTAAAAAAGTAAGTATGTAACACCTGCCCTGATACTGCGTGTCAAGAGAGGCGACTAAAGGTGTATAGGTTTGGTCTCCTAAAAAGTGCCAGTTTGTAGAGGGCCAACCACCCAACCCCGTAAAAAAACTGAAAATGACAGAAACACGACCAAAATCATCTATATGCACAGGGGCGAAGCGTCTATATAATCGAATAATCACTGCTTCCCTTTCTAATTTTGAAACATTGTCGCTGTCAAATTCATCCTTAAACGTAAACCTCATAAATTAAATGTCAAAAGACGTTCGTAATCAACAAATAAAGTGAGGCTGGAATAGAGTTGAAGGGAACATGTGCATGGCAGTCAAAGCTGTTTCATTGCCACATATAAAGTTCACCCCTTTGGGGCCACAGTTAAAATCAATCACCAGCCCTGATTAAGTAAGCTAACTAACACTGGTCGAGTCTACCTCACAAATGTGAGGGGAACTAACTCTTAATAATCTCTTGACTGCTGCTTGTGCTTGTTTTTTTTCCTCGACTTTTTACCGTCCTTTAATCAGATCGTGACCTCGATTATGACACCAGCTCCTGGCCGCGAAAGGCTAACAAAAACAGCCAAATGTGAAATTTAAAAAATAATAATTGTCATGTTCTACCAAAGAGTTAGACTCACTGGTAGATCTATAACATATAGATCTAGTACTGACATCTCTGCTTCTTTGCTTTTTGTTTATGTATTCACATCTAAAGTTAAGTTTAATTTTAGTGGGGACTGATATTTAATAAGATACTTTCCCGATTATTTTGGCGGTTGAACATACAATATGAATTCCGGATTTGTTTTCATTCACAACTCAGAGTCGCCGCCTCGAGTAAGATTCTTGTGTGATATCTACATGCCCTATCTGGTCCCATTTCACTTTGATTACCCTGTCAAACAAGTCAGCCTTCGCCCCTGTATATGCATTTATTTTTCGATCTTGGTATCAGGGTGGGGGGCATCTGAATCCGCAGGAACAATGAAACAATGAAGCAAAGAAGGACAGTGGACAAAGCCGAAATGACTCTCCTGACCCGTAACCTTCTCTGTGGAACAAGATTCTCGGGATTGCGTTGTGGAATGTTCTCACCATGAATAAAGCAGGAAAGAGTTCCCCATTATCACAAGAGATTAAGAGATACAGTCTGCACATACAAGGAGTCAGTGAAACCCACTGGATACAGTTTGGACAGAAGCAGCTGCGCACGGGGGAACAAACACTGTGTTCTCGGTGGAAAGGGGCACCATGTTGAAGGAGTTTGCATCATTTTGGGTATGTATGCCCTGAAGTCACTTTTAGAGGATGGGAACCACACTGGGAGAAAACCACCATGGCCTAATTCACGACAAGGAGTAAGAGCATCAAAATGAATATAGTCCAGATCTACATCACAACAAATGATGAAGACAAGGATGCCCTTTAAAGCCTTCTCCAGATGGTGATTGGCAAACTGCCAAGGAAGGGTGTCAACATCATAATGGGAGATGTCAATGCAGAGATTAATCAGGACAACGTAAGTTGTGAGGGAATTATGGGACAACAAGGCTTGGGACAAATAAATGCCGCCAACATGGCACCCACAACTCTATACCGTTGACAATCATCGCTCGTTGAAAAACCCTCTTTATATCAAACACCCAGCTAAACCGACGAAAGTCACGCAGTCCTGCAGTTTTTAAAAAGAGGACGCCATTGTGTTTTGGTCGTGAATATCGTGAGTTCGAATCCCGTCAATGCCCGACGATGTGTCTTTGGGTAAGGCACTTAACACGAATTTTCCTAACATCACCCAGATGGGAATGGATACCAAGTTATAGAAATCGAAAGATCTTGTCCGTTTGTTACTGTTTGAATGCGTGCAAACATGCAACTTGTTCTATTTGCTTCCCGGGAAGCTGAGAACTTTCCGAGTGGTCTAGGGTCTGTTGGGTAATAATTAATAAACGACATCTGCCCACGTGCTTCACAAGAAAAAATACGAAAACAGAACGAAAAATTACAATTATGAGTCTGGCTGACTACCGGTAGACTAGATTACCAACGCCACCACTGTTCTTTTTATTGACCACCAGAAAACATTATTTTTGAAATTCAATAACATTCTATGATTCCCCTCCTCGATGTTAAAGGTGGAACCGAGGCAGACGTTAAAGCAAGAACCGCCTAGGCAAGGTCAGCCTTCAAGCAATTATCAAAAGTCTGGAAAGCAAGCAACATCTCGCTGCGCACCAAGATTCTACTCTTTAACTCTAATGTCAAGTCTGTGCTCCTTTACGGCCGCGAAACTTGGAAGATAACGAAAACAGTACTGAATAAAGTCCAGACTTTCATCAACAGATGTATGAGGAGTATTCTAAGAATTAAGTGGCAGGATAGAATAAGAAATGAAGAACTGTGGGAAAGGACAGGACAAAAGGATATAGAAGTAGAAATAGGACTAAGAAAGTGGCGATGGATGGGACACACCTTAAGAAAGCCCAGCGGAAACATCACAAGACAGTCACTGCAATGGAACCCACGAGGAGCACGAGGCAGGGGTAGGCCACGGGAAACATGGAGGAGAAGCGTGGAAAAGGACATGAGAGAAATGAAGCTCACTTGGAACGAGCTTGGAAGGATGGCTCAGGACAGAGATAAATGGAAGGAGCTTGTATGTGGCCTATACCCTGCCAGGTGTGAAAGGCATTGATGATGATGATGATGATGACCACCATCAACAACAACAGCAATAACAATATTCCAGGAATTCAGAATCACAGATCATGTCGCGAAACCGGCGGCGATCGAGATGGGGAAGGGAGGTAAAAGTCTAAATAGGTGGTGTGGAGATAAAGGGCTACTTGGCTCCTCATCAACACAGTTTTAATAATCGTGCAACTGGAAACAATTTGGCCAACTCTTTTAATTGGTTCTACAAAGCTTACCAAGATCAACGTTAACCTTAAGATCATTCTTATTATAGATAAAGACAAACGAACAAACAAATAGACCAAGAATAAAGCCAAAGAGGAACATAAATTTGATAAAAATTTGCCGAGCGGGCAGAAAAATTCCGCTTTCTTCCATTTCGTTATTTTGACAATCGCCTGATTTCACCATAATGTCTTTACTATGTCTGTGTCATAAATTCCTCAACGCAGTGTTGCTTCAGAAGAATGATCTGTTCATATTCTGATATATGGGCCCATATCTAGTGCGCGGTTGAGGGTATTGGGGAGAGAAGAGAGAAGAGAAGAGAAGAGAGAGAGAAGAGAAGAGAAGAGAGAGAGAGAGAGAGAGAGAGAGAGAGAGAGAGAGAGAGAGAGAGAGAGAGAGAGAGAGAGAGAGAGAGAGAGAGAGAGAGAGTTGGATAGAGGAGTGCTAGGTCAAAGCAAACTGTTTACACTACAAGTTTGAAAAGTCGATTTTGTGGTAAACAACAAAACCAAAAGAAGTGGCAAAGTGTCAGTCGTTGAGAAAAATTCCTGAATTTAAAACACACACACACACACACATACATACATACATACATACATACATACATACATACATACATACATACACACACACACACACACACACACACACACACACACACACGCAGAGACACACACACCATAAACGAAGCAAAGAAAAATAAATCTGGAACAAAAACTCGTCTGTTGCAGAGCTTCGTTTATAATGTCAGCACATTTCTCGTGTTGGCTAGGTTATAAATCCGCCCTCACCTCTCTCTCACTTTTACACACTGTCCGCCTTTACCAATAATTTACCACTCGTTTTCACGACAGGAATTTACCCCCCCCCCCCTTTCCCCCCTTTAAGTGGAGGTTTCGGACATTGGCGGGTTGGGAAAGTTCTTGGGGTTCATTAGAGGGTCTATTTTAATTGTTGACAGGTGGAATTTTGAGGCCTGACCACTGAGAGTGTGTTGTCTATGATTTAACGTTCTTCAGGCCTACTGCTCTTTAATTCTTTTTGCTAAAATCGTTATTTTTATATTGGCTTTGGTTCACCGGATTTCTTTTTTCTTGTATTTATTAATTGTTCTGCACGGTAGAATCTATAAATGCCATGAAATAAAATATGTAGGCTATATAGGTCTATTTTTTTATATTATTATTTTTGAAGAGGAGAAAGGATAGCATAATATCGTCTCTCTACAGAGGATAATGGACAATAATGGTTATTCACTCTAAAAACTTACTTTAAACTCTTTCTTTCTTTTAATTTATTTTCTGTTTTCAGTTATTGTTGCCTGAAAAGGGTCTATTTCCCCCCCAAGCAGGCTAAAAAGCATTCCCACAATAAATGTAACTGATATTATTATGTAGGCCTACCTTTACGCAAAAAAGGACATCCTGATGATTCTTTTCTTGTTTCGGATATAGAGCCACTACAAGTTTTTATTTTGATTCCAGGTTGCTAATGACGCTTTAACTTCCTGTTTACAAACAGGTGATCTTTTCAGTAGGTAGCTGAGGAATTCTTCAGCCCACACAAAAATAGAAAGAAAGAAGTCTTTAGTATTCACACCTCTACATATTTATCGGGCTTCTTTTCTAGATTCGTAAAAGCATTTCTACAAGCCTGTACCCAGAATAATCTAAGATTTAGATTCCTTAATAACTTATTATCTAATTATAACGACTGTTGCACGGAAACATGGCCGATCGACAGTATGGTCTTAAGTTTGGCGGGAATGCAGGGGCTTCTGTTGATGCATATCTTGAGTACCGACGGTAAGTTGTTTCGTCAGTATGATTCATTTTATGGACCGTTAATTTTAATAGATCTAATCTATAATAGTAGATATATATTAGATCTAGATCTAGATCTTTCACTCTCGTAACTCGTAACCCTCAAGCATGGAGGAAGGACTTACGTTTTGGGAGATTGAGATTCTTAGAAAGTTAACACTTGCAGACCAAAACTAAAAATGGTGACGCCCTCATGGGAGGGAATTAAATACCTTTCTAGACGACTTTGGCACGAATTCAAAATTATCCAATGATAAACAAAGATCGAAGTGGCTAGAGAGTCTAGCCGTACTTAAGTACTTAAGTACGGCTAAACAGTCTAGCCATACTTAGATCTAGGTTTGGCCCTATCGACTCAAGCCTATTGAGTACACAGGTCGCATTGGATCTAGATCTAGATTAGATCTAGTAATTATACAGGTTCAAGTACATGCAAGTCAGTAAGTTGGTTTTGTCTGAAATACAAATATGACAGTCTAGCTGTCCTTAAGTATGGCTAGCCTGGCTGTATTCCACCACAATCAGTCCTGTCACATAGCCTATGGTTATAGGAGTCTGTCAATTTAAAGGTAATGAATAAGACAAATTAATTTTTTTCCCTTTCAAAAATTTGCTTTTTCTAAGAGTGGGTTTTTAGAAATTCTCCTTCTGATAGCCATCAGGAGTCAGATCTGGAATTGAGATATATTTAGAATAGGACCTACAGCCTATACAGTTAAAAGTGTTCAAAATATCCGCCCTTTTTCAAGAAGCAAATTGGATATCTTGAACAGTGTCATTCTAATATATTTTAAAAGAGAAACAAAATTTTTTTTAAAGGGGGGAGGGGGGTGGTTATTTAAACGGTGTCTTGGACAGGTGACAGAGAAGCTTTGACTATATACATATACACCTTGCTCAACTTCATGAAATCGTTTAAGTTAAGAACAGACAAGAAGGCATAATACAGTATAACATGGATAGATCAAACACAAAAGACTGGAAATCACGCATGGGTCGAACTGTGCCTGCGGTCCGTTTTTTTTTTTCTTCTTTATCTTTGTAAGATATCCCTTGAACTAAGGGTCCCTGTAACAACAGATAAATTCGAGCTATCCATGTCACACTGTGTGTAACATCTTTGTAGACAGATACTCAATTAGAACTTCTCAAAATGGGAATAAAACCCATGTTTTCTGTGTACTACGGTGAAGAGCCACTGCTACAAAGCAGATGCCAGTTAAATTCATTGTGGCTCAAAGGAATAAGTAACCTAACAGAAGAAATAGATCAACACGTCTAATCCTACACAAATTTCCATCATATATATGTTCATTGCTTATCTTTTAAGAAATTTTTATTTGCAAAATTATTGCAAAAAAGAAATTACCTTCATTGCTTCCAACGATATTTCCTCTGCTCACTGATTTATGAAAGAATAAACTATAACAGGTCTGTATAAAACATCATTTTGTTTATTCATTGCTCTTTGTTATCTTCAGCATTGTGGGAGATGATGATGGAGGTAATATGTTCACACCGGAGGAATATGAGGCTTACAAGAAGAAAGTCATACCACAAGTAAGCAACATTAGGCTAATGATATTATATTTTCTGGAATCTGCTGTAGGGAACATTGCTAAATGTGTAAATGTGTGTAAACATTATTATGAGACCTGTTTAAATTATAGCTTTTAACTGATGTAACTTGGGTCTTGACATTGTACATGTAAATCAATAACAATTTTGAGCCAAGTTTATAAACTAGCGTCTGATGAAATTGTAAATGAAGGAAAGAATAAAACACTCTTTGTTTTATGGTGCATTCAGGAATAATTCTGCTTTGAACTTGCCCCAAGCCCACTTCCAATCTTTGCGAAAATGCATTCAATCTAGGGTTTCAAAGACAGTCTGAGCAATTATATGCAGTAGATGTTGTCTACGTTATATAATTTCTACTCAGACGGTTTGTTCATTCTATTTTGTACTGTTTTTACATCAAAATTACTCTTATGGAAAATAAAGTGATGAGTTTCCTTAAAAATATGCAGAGGCTCAAGTTGGAAAAAAACTAAAATGACTAATGGGTTTTTGTTTTCCTGTATAGCTGCTTTTTAGTTGTTCTATTAATTTTGTACGCACAGTGCATCATATTCATAGTAGGCCTACATAGGAGTGACTGTGCTACATCAGCTACTTTTTGTTACATAACAAAAGACTGTGCTGAACAAAACAGAAACAAGGTCCAATGCATTGTTTAATGCTGATTGACTTGTTTTGTACGGGAACCTTTCACAAAATAACATGCTGTAAAACTTAAATTGTGAGGCAGCATGGTGAAATCAGGCACTCGTCAAAATAATAAAATCAAAGAAATCAGCTTTGGCTGATGGACAATTTTTATCTAATTTTCTTTTTTTTTGGCTCCACACTTTTTATTTGCATTTAAAATCACATTTTTGTGTAGATTTTACTGAAAACATTGATTAAAGGCACAGAAAAATGTAAATTTAAAGTTTCCAAGGACTCTCAGCTTACGGAAGTAACCAAACTTTGACAGCCATTTTCTCACAAATTTTACATTTGAAACCAGGCAACCCCCACCTCTGTAAATCGCAAACATCTCAACTTCTATTCAAGATAATTGAATTTTTTTTCCATCTGAATATAGAAAAATGATCAAGCTTTGAGATGACTCCAATAACTCCATTTGCCCAGAAATTGACAAGAGCCTGATTCCAACACGTCGTGACACGATTAGTTATTTTTATTATCTTCGAATTGATGAGCAAGGTGGCTAGATCACTTGAGAAATTCACGAAAAGGTTGTATGTAAACCTCAATACTGGATGTGAATTTCTTTTGTTGAAGCCTTTATATCAATTTTATTTTGACTTTTTATGAGTCAAGTTTGTCTAAGTTCTGTACAACTATTTCAGCGAGTCAAAAACCGTTTGTACACGTGTTACACGAATCCAGCTGGGATGGACTGCAAGTTGATAGGTCCAGAGACACCTTGTTTTTGCACTCACAGGTGAGTTCATTTTTTTTTCCTTGCCAACATCTTCTATGTAGTGATTGGGCTCTTTACATTACATTGCCCACAAAGACACGAGTTTGATTCTCTTAGTGGATCTTTAGAGGCTTTTCGCTGTTGCTCACAGAAGACATAACTTTTATTCCCAAGTGGACAATTTTTTAAATTGAGTATCTCCATCAGTTTTCTGGGATGCTGTATCCCTTTCAGCCTTGGTTAGCCCTCAAGACAGGGAGAGTCAAACCAACTATCTGCTAAATGATCTAAGTTGTGTCGATACAGTGTAAAACATTACAATCACACCCCACCGCCTCCCCCCTAGGGATGATATTTGATTTAAGAGTTTCTGTTTCTCTGCTGACAAGCAGGACGAAAGCAGTTTTTACTCCAAAACAACCTTAGTAGTGTTAATGATATTGTGAACTCAGTGCTGCACATATCTTATTCATGTACTGTCTGCAACTGATATTTTCTGGCGGGTGGTCGGAAAGTGCCACTGGTTGTCCTACTTCCTTTCCATCCGTCTTTTGTTTTTGTTGGTCTGCCTTACCTATTTCCCTCATGGAATGTGACAAATTTGCTTCTCATTACTAAAGTAATATCATTTTCTTACAGCTCAGTAACAAGACAGCTGGAATCTTTACTTATGTGTCTGACAGGAAAATACAGTTGAACCTGCTCAAACAACCACCTGTTGAAGACAGTCATCTGAACAAACGACCACTTCCCACTTCTTCTCTTGCTTTGTTAAAAAATCATAATGACACGGTCAAAGAGAACTACCTGTCTAAGTTGACCACTTTTCTCCTCAATGATGAATGGTTGTCTTGGACAGGTTCAACTGTATCTTGCTGCCCTTGTGCCTGGTGGAGTGTTGTCATAATGGTGTCTGTCTCTATGGAAAGATGATTTATTTGCACACTGGTGCTTACCTGTGTAGTAAGACTTTACTAAAGGGGAACTGATAGTGTTGGTACCTTTACATCATGGGAATTCTTACTGCCGTTTTAGAACGATTTAGTTCCTGTTGGGTTAAGTCCTTATCTTCCAGCAATGATAGTTTATCATAGTTTATGAGCAATATCAATGAGGTTTTCACCTCTTATTAGTTTTGTTATAGGGCTGCTGACACAAATTTTGGGAAGAGGTGTGGGGCTGTTTTGATAAGAGATCTAAGAATAAATTTGTGATAGATCTAGAGAATAACAATGATAATAACTAAAGTTTAACTTTTAGAGCTTGTCTCCGCCTTATGCGCGATACGATGTTGCGTCGAGTGTGGTCCCTGTCGCTCTAAAATCATTCGAGTAAGATTATAAACAAACCGTCTCCTTACATTTGATGCGATGTCTAGTCGCACACGATTGTCGCCTGCGATTGGTCCATGTAACGATGGAGTCGAGGGCCTTGTTGCGTACAACAGACTGGGGGTGTGACAGGTTAAGAGCATCACTGTTGGTCAAAATACGAGGGTTGTCCGATGGAAAACCGGAATTTGGCTGTAATTTGTAAACTATTCAATATTTTCACATTCTGTAAACGCACACTTGTAAAACAATCATTTAGGAATTTCCTGATTGAGCACTATGAGCATTGCACAAACCAAACGAACTCAGCAAACCTATAGAAATACACTCTGAAATAAAGTCAGTTTACAGGGAGAAAGTAATGGCAAAGTAACAGGTATATCTGTGGTGTAGTAAGTTTAAAGCCGGGCATACGGATGTCAATGACAAAGTTCACCCAGGACCTTGTTTTTCTGCCAAGACTGAGGACAATAAGAGTCCCGTTATCAAACTCATTCAAACAGACAGGCGCCTAATATTTGGCGAAATTTCCGAATCGCTAAACATTTCAAAGTCGACTGTCCATACGATAGTGTTTGATGAGCTGCACTATCAAAAGGCCTCTGCTCGATGGGTCCCAAAAGAGTTGACAGCTGACCACAAGACGCAACGTGTTGAAGTGTCTCAGACTTTGTTGAATTGTTGTTGTCAAGCTGTCACCGCAGTCGTGAACGCATCTGGAGACCTCCAACAAAACAATGAAGCATTCCTGAGAAGCATTAGATCTATTACAGGTGATGAGCCTTGGATACCCTACATGACCCCTGAGACGAAGAGGGATTCAATGGTTTGGAAGCACACATCTTCACCCCCCCCCCCCCCCCCCCCCCCCCCCGAAAAAGTTTAAAGTTCAGCCATCGTTGAAGAAACTCATGGCCACGGTTTTCTGGGACGCAAAGGGTGTTCTGCTTCTTATCATTCTGGAACCAGGACAAGCTGTTAATGCTAACAGATACTGGCAGACTCTTGATAAGTTGAGAGAGATTGTTCGCTGAAAAAGACCAGGCCTGTTGTCCAGCGGGGTCATTTGCAGCATGACAACGCAACGCCACACACCGCAAAGGCTGTGAAAGACTGGATCCAAAGGTTCGGCTGGGAAGTTCTCCCTCACTCCCCTCACATTCCTGACTTGATCCCGTCAGATTATCATCTTTTTTGGACCAATATAATGCCATATTTCTGGACAGCGACTCACCGAAGAAGAAGACCTCGTGGAAGCCATGAAAGATTGGTTGAAATCCCTTGTAGAAAAATTCTTCAGGGAGGGTGTTTTCTCCCTGATCCAGCGATGGGTAAAATAGGTCCAGCGGGATGGTGATTACATTGAGAAATAAAACACATGTTGAGGTATAATGCGTTACATTTTTATTATAATAGGACAAAGATTGTTGCTTTTATGGATCTTTTCCGGTTTTCTGTGGGACAGCCCTCGTACCTATCCAAGGAGTGCCGGTCAACATACAGTGTGTGGTGTGGTGTGGTGGTGTGTGTGTGTGCATGTGCATATGTGTGTGTGTGTGTGTGTGTGCATGTGTGTGGGTTTGTGTAGGATGTTCTTCAATTTGACCTATTGCAAGTTTTTAAAATATAATTTTGTTGTTTTGTTTTTTTAACGGACAGCAGGAGGAGAAGGAGGAAAGAGGAGGAGGATGAAGAGGAGGAGGAAGAGGACTTTCACGGGATTGGCCATGTATGGAATAAAAAATGTCAGCAGCTCGTAGAACTCCCATCTGACGGACTTTGTAGACCTACTTCCTTGTCCATCTTTACATTAAAATTTACCACTGTCTCTCCTCCGTTAATTGCCACTACACATGAGCGCTTAGCCAGTTGCAAGCGGCTAAACGTCGCATTGCGTATAAGTATAAGGAGACAGTTTTGTAGTAGGCGACTGAAAATTTTTGTATGTTGTGGTCGCGCCTAAGGATGCACACCTTGTGACTCATCACTAGCGACTGTTGCGTGCGACTAAACGCTGTGTCGTGCATAAGGAGACATAGACACTTAGAATGTTTGTTGTTCTTTAAGTCTGAAACATTACTACCAGTCATATATGTGACACGTTGTGGTGGAATCAGGGGCTCGTCAATTTTTGGGCATATGGAGTTATAGGTATCTTCTTAAAGCCTGTCCGTTTGCCTTGCTGTTGATGAAAACAATATCCTTTTATCTTGGATACAAGTCAAGATATTGGCCATTGAAGGAGGTAGGGGTTGCCTGGTTTCAGATGTAAAATTTGTGAGAAAATGGCCGCCGAAGTTTAATTATTCCTTAGCTTAAGAGTGCGTGGAAACTTTAAAATTACATTTTTCATACCTTTAATCAACGTTTTTCAGTAAAATCCACCCAGAAATGTGTTCGTTAATTGGCATGAAAGGTGTAGAGCCAAAAAACAAAAATTCAATAAAATTTCCCAAACCTGCGGAAAAATGCCAGTTTCTTCCCTTTCATTATTTTGACAAGCGCCTGATTTCACCACGCTGCCTCACATATATGTACACATAGGCAAAAGCGGCCTGGCTTGTGATCTAAATTGTATTGATAGGGGTGTGTAAAATTTACAGTTGCTTTTGCTACAAATTGTTAGTGGTTTGCTGTGATGTAGAAGTTAGGCTCTTTGACATTACAAACTGGACCCAAGTGGTAGAGGTAGGTATTACAAACAGAAGATGCGAGTTCAACTTCCCAAAAGGGAGAATTTTTATTGAGTATCTCTGCTTCTCTGCTTCTCTGCTAGGACATTTTTGCCCAGGTTAGCCATAACAGGCAAAGTGAAAGCAGGACACCTCTTAAAATTTAATGATCTAAATTGTGTTGATAGGACTGTAAGACTTCTACATTTTTTGTACAGGTGATTGTTGGTGGCTTTGGTGTTGTGTGAACCTTCTGCTTCTTCAGTTCTGCCACTTGTCTACTGTACTTCCAGATAGATCGTTTGGTGAAAAATTTACTGTAATTCATCAACAAATCTGGACATGAGGATGGTTGGCGGGTGCTCTGGTATCGTTTGCTCCTTCTTTCCTATCAAACATCTGTCCTCCTTATCTTTCTTCTTTTTTTGGTGTGTGTTTACTGTCTTGTGACATCTCTTAATTATCTGCACTTATGTGACTTAACTGTATTGCAAATTCTGTATGTAAAACTCCTACTCACAAATCAGTATACACACTTTGACTTTCACTCCAAATACTCATGAGGGTGGTTGGAAGTTGCACCCTAGGACGTGTTGATGTGCTTCTGTTAATTCAGACTCAAAACTTGAATGATGATGGCTATTTCACGGGTAACTAATGAGGACAATTATGACTTTGGAAAGCAGTTGAGAGGGCAGACCTCATCAGAACGGCACCCACCAACCTCCCAGTTACAAATTACATCCTCAATGTAACAAATGGATGGATAACATAGAAGGAAAAAGAAAAATGATCTACGTAAAAAAGCACAGGGTGCTGTTATATGATTGGTAACAGTGACTTAATTCTTTCTATGTGGTTGACTCCTCCCTGCACCACTAGTCTCTATTTATATATTGCATATAAATGATCATATTTAATTGGGCGCTGAAAGATTTAAAATACATTTAAAGGGGTGTAGAAAGATATGCTTACTGTAATCTTTGATCTAAGACTGAGAACACAGAAAATACTTTATGGTTTGAACAGCTAGTCTGTATAAGCTAGCAAGTTTGTAATTTCCTCATAATATCTTGTGTGTTTTGTGCGTCATGTGTCAAGAAGATGTGAACGTTTTTTTGAAGATGAAATATTCTCTGTATTTTCTGCCTTATTCTCAGCTTTGACATTGCTGATGAGTCAGTTTTGCATTTTTTGTTGTTGTTGACTTTTTCATTCCTCTTTTCTTTCAGGTACAAACAACACAAAACAGATTTCGCATCGATTCCATCATCGCGTCCGATTCTCCTCCCCTGTAAAGTGTCTGGCTGTCCTTGTGCCTCCTACCATTATGTGCCCCTCAACGGCTCTCAGTCCATACGCTGTACTTGCAAGCATCTAGCTGATGACCACAATGTAAAGGCACCGTTTATCTGCAAAAAGGGTATGAAACACACAGTGTTTTTTAAAATTTGATTAGGAAGTTTATTTTATATTTATTTTCTTCAAACATGTGTCGAAACTATTTAAGTTAAAGAGTCAATATTTCACCTGGGATGCAGCATTTCAGCTGCTCTTTATTGTTTTCAGCTTGATCATGTCTGTTGCTATCATGTCATCATCTATGCCTTTCACCCCTGGCAGGGTATAGGCCACATACAGGCTCCTTCCATTTATCTCTATCCTGGGCCATCCTTCCTAGCTCGTTCCAAGTGAGCTTCATCTCTCTCATGTCCCTTTCCGCACATCTCCTCCATGTCTCTCATTCTATCATGTAAACAATGCTAATTTTTTTTCCTTGAGTCTGTTACCTTTGTGCTTTTGTTCAAAACCATGGTGCTGAATATAATGCAATGTGACCTGCTTGACGATTTTGTATTTTGATGACTACAGTCACAAATTGTGCAAGTCTGAAATTTAGTAATGTTTATTTTTTGTCTGAAAAGATCACTTAGATACCCTGTGGCATTATGTCTAAGCATAGTACAAGTTTACGGAGGGATAATTACAAAATATGAGCCTCTAATATATAATAACCTAATTATGTTGATAGTAGTAGTAGTGATAAACCCATGCACACTTACAAAACTCATATAAATGTTTGACCAAACACATTTGTTACATTTTTCATGTTTACTTGACACTCACAGTTTCCCTTTAAAGGGGTAATTTTTGACTGTTTCTACTGATTGTTTATTGATTCTTTTGATTTTTGTCTTTGTTAGTTATATAACACAAATCTAAGAAAAATATGAATGAAGTTGTATTTTTTTTGTCTGTGTTTTAACAAGTATGATCTTTGTATGTGTAGCGGGCTGCACCAAATGCACTGGTTTCAAGAGCTCCTTCACCTGTGCCTGTGGCAGTGGCCACAATGACCACCGTATGATTGTGGAGACGGCCGATGAGAGAGAGGCTCGTGGACATCCCCTGGGCGAGGCCGTGCCGTTCCAGGCCATGGGGGGCATCACTGGCTTCTCCTCACTGGCTGAGGGATATCTGAGACTGGACCCAAGTGGTAGAGGTAGGCTTGACTTGTAGGAATACAGTGGAACTCGATTTCAACGAACTCAGATTCAACAGACACATGAATGGATGGGAAAGCTCTGATTCAATGAAGTCGTTTTTCAGGGTGAACTGCTCTATGTGATCAATGGGTAGCCTCCTTTCATACAAACACCCACGCTGTTGGCAAACACCCATGTCTTACCGTTTGTCGGGGTCGGACAGGTGTCCAGCACATGGTTATGTGTGACTGTGTGTGCGTGTGTCTGGGGGGAGGGGGATGGTGGAGGGGGATGGTGGAGGGGGATACAAACAATCCGGACACGGAACGTCAGTAGAGATACAAACATGACACAGTAAATTTTTCCCCCCCTGGCTAAATTTGAAAGCTGTTTCTGCTTCCGATCCGGACATTGGGGATAGATTTGGTGGTGAATCAACTTCCTGGGCCTTCGGCATATTGTGGTAGTGTGGCCGGTTCCTTTCCACGCAGCCTTTACTTTTCCAACTCAAAGTCAGGTATCCATTACCGCTGGGTGGGCTGGAGGAGGTAAAAAAAAAATTGTGTCCAATCTGAGGCTTGAACCCGAACTTTCCGCCTCGGAGACCAGCACACTATTTGCTTTGCCACCGCACCCTTTCCCCCTGCGTACTAATCAACATTACAATGATAAACTAATCTTGACATAAATCTACATGATGAATTGTGTGCAGGACTGTGGAATCAAACATTGCCGTACGCTATGCTCTACACAGCAACTTGTTTAGCAACAATACATTATAGATGATAGATGACACTGTGATGTGTTTGAACAAATCAGCCCTTTTGCACCGTGTGTGCTTGGTAGAGTTCAGTGTATTTTCTTAAAATTTTCCAGCAATTCTTCAGTATCGAAGAAACGAAAATGCCTCTCATTTGCGACCAAACTACTTTTTTATTGAAAAAGTCGAATACATTAGACATTACTTGCTCCGTGCCTGGAATTATCTGCACAAAAACCTTATATTTGGCGTAACGAACACTTGGATTCAACGCAATTGAAGGTCAGGCCCTACGACTTCGTTGAATCCGAGTTCCACTGTATGTAAATGATCGTCTATTAGTTTTAGTTAAAGTAAATAATGACACATTTAATAATTCACCAAAATATATTTACAATCAGTCTTACTGGTTAGTTGCTTGTGTTTTGCTCCTGTAGGCAAGGATTTCATTTTCAAGCATTTTTTGTTCTAGCTTTAAAATTATTACTTCTACATTAGTACTTTTACTTTTTTAATCCTCTGTTTTTATTGAGCTTGGAGGAGAGATACTGTTATCTATGACAGGCCACTGCACTTCAAGATAATGTACACCTGCTTCCATGTAAAAAAGAACATACGCAAAGGTTTATATTCACAAATAGTATCTCTGTTGGAGGAGAAATGAGTAACTTCTGTCCTTGCTGCAGTGTCTGTCTTTTTTGTTTGATTAGTCCACTGCTTCAGATTTGAAACATGGTGTTGCACGTGGTATTTTAAAGCCCACGCCTATAAGACAACATTACTGAATAAAGGCCTCTATGGATTTGCATTATTTCTTAATACCTATGGCAGGTTGAAGGCGCCACTGGTAAGTCCTATTTCTGTTCCATTACTCTGTTGTTTCTATTTGACCATCTTATTTTCTCTGCAGTAAATGTTTGCAGTTGTATTAATATGCCTCTATTATCTCTTACTAATAAACTTGATTTCAACAAATTTTGATTTGGACTATTTTCATTAAGGTGCTCCGTCTGACGAGTTTTTGAACCAGCCAATCACAGCCCAGGACAACCCATTTCTGAGAGCCAATGTGAATTCCATCAAGGCCCATCATATGGCCAAACATGGAGGACATGGTATGTAATTGGTTCTCAAGAATTACGCTGAAATTGTTTCTCTCCATCTCCCACAGGCTCCCACCACATGCACACAGTCACACTCGCGCAAGCACTTTTCAACATTTGTGTTTTCCTTATTTATATCAATTACTTTTTAGTGGTGATAAAATGAAACTGCCGAACTAACATTCTTCTTCTGATTCAAGTGCTAGATCTGAACTAGGCATTAGTGATCATGAATGCCTCTCATTTAACTGCTTGGCGGTATATCCTCAATCTTATTTTGTTTTTAGTACCTGGTAAGTTATTAATTCTTGATCCGTCTCTTTCTCTTTTGTCTTGTATTTATTGTTATCGTCTACCTTCTTTGTGGTTTCATTTTGTACAGTTTTCTGTAGGTAAACTCAGGGCTCATGTCTTATTTTCTGTTACTTTTATGATTTGAAAAGGGTAAAGACTAATATGTGAGGCAGCGTAGTGCACGGCGTCACTTTTCGGCCGATTCTGTTACTTTTAGTTAGCGTGACTCAGCAGCCCGCCGGAGCTCCCCGGCTCGGGGTCACGGGGTTAATGAGCCCTGAAGCGACTTTGCCGGTGTCGGTTAGGAAGTTCGCATTTTTGACTGTTTAAAACGATATAACTTCTTCCCCATCCCACATAGCAAACCATTACGCGGATGTACTAAAAGATCAATGTCTTGAGATTTATTCTGTGTTAGAATGGTTAGTTTCTGTGCCTTAGTTTTTGTTCTAGACAAGTGTTTGTAGAGTACCCAATTTGTCCTGTTTTAGTTACAAACTTATGAATAAATGATTGTTAATTTAAAAAAGGCTCGACAATTCTCTCCAAAATCTGTGTTAAACTGACTATGAATATCATGTCTTTTACCATGAGAAATCTTAAATCTGCGGTAGTAGTAATAGTCAAGTTATAAGAGAAGAAAGATGCACATCTGCAATTTTTAACTAAAGACGATCAGCGTTAGCTCTTATTTTACTATTAAACAAGAGAAAGTTACTCTGCGTTTGTTCATGAATCATGCTGTGTCTGTGGCAGCCTGCATACAACTAAAAAGATATAATATAAGCGATTAATAAAACCACAAAACCATGTAAATACATGGGTAGAGATAAACTTCTTGTATGGAATAAAAATAATGACCACTAAAACATTCATTCTTAGTTTTTGTGTAGGAAATGTGCGCGGACACAATTATGAATGTAAAGAAATCAGTCTCATTGTCAGTTATTGCAAATGGTCATAGAAACGAAAAAAAAGCTGGAAAAGTCTGGTGCTGATTCAGTGTCCCTGGAAAGCTAGAAATTATTCTTATAACTCAATTACGAGAAGTCATCCCTATTATTCAGTCAACTTACAAAACCTAGACATAGCGTTTTAAGAAAAATAAGGAATTTCTTGAGTGTAACAGATACTGTTCGTGTATTACACACACTCACACACATCTCCAAATAACTTGATTGAGTGATTAGGAAGGACATTAAGCCAGAATCATATCTAGACTGTGACTCACAGTGCACGCTTCCACCCACAGCCATCACAGGCGGCAACGAGCGAGTGTTTGATGACATCGAAGAAAGAATTTCTGCCGTCAAGAAAGAGGGAGAGTCGGACATGGACTTTTTCGAGAGGAGATACCAGGAACGAGTGAGTGTTTTTGCCTGTTTTGGACAATTTGTGAGGCAGCGTTGTGAAATCAGGCACTCGTCAAAATAATGAAACAGAAAAAACTGACATTTTTCTGGCAGTTCGGTAATTTTTAACGAATTTTTGTTTTATGGCTTAACACCATTGTTGTCCAATTAAGAACATATTTCTTGGTGGTTTTTACTGAAAAAGATTGATTAAAGGCACAAATAATGTAAGTTTTCAGTTTCCATGGACTACTAAGCTATGGAAGTAACCCAACTTTGGAGGCCATTTTATCGCTTATTCTACTTTTGAAACCAGGCGACCCCACCTTATTCAATGTCAAATATCTTGACTTCTATTCGAGATAAGATGGGCATTATTTTTCACTGATAGCAAGACAATTGAACAAGTTTTAAGATGATACCAATAACTCCACATGCCCAAAAATTGACGAGCGCCTGATTCCACTGAGCCCTGACACATTTTGTCCCTGCTGGTACCCGTGATTGCAAGTAAATTATGATTGTAAAGGATATATGCCCCTGTTGTCAGAGTTTAGGTCTTTTCAGAGTTTGGCTTCATTGATCCTCTTTGCTAGAATTAACCCTGTCTGAGTGGAGTATAGAAAACCAACCAAAAGGAGATACTTAATACAACTGATGTCCCTACAACACTATCAAAATTATTTCACAGTGTTTTACATGCACAGCAAAATTTTTTTTAGCAGTTTAATTGACTTAATTATGTATGTTTGTATGACTGTAGTCATCAAAATACAAAAGTCCCAGCTGAAAGACTGAGATACTGAATCAAAATGCTCCCCGCACTGGAATTGGACTTTGGTCTTCTGCATGTCGTGATGAAGCATCTAACATAATCTGCACCACAGACGCTGGTTTTGATGTGCTTGTCTTTACAGTAGTCTCCGCCTAAACGCACGTCATACAAAGGCACGCTCTGTTCAAACGCACGCTTTCGTCATCTGACGGGTTTTTTACTATATAATTTAGACGTACAAACGCACGGTCACTCCCTCTAAACGCACGCTTTCGTCATCTGACGGGTTTTTTACTATATAATTTAGACGTACAAACGCACGGTCACTCCCTCTAAACACACGCTCCGATCTGCGAAACACCCCGACAGGTAAAGCCTAAGTGAAATTTTTGCTACAAACTACAATTGTCTGCACAGCTTGCTATAATATAAGACAAGCATAGAAAACCGGATATTTGATGAGACTGACCCTCACGCCGAACAAAGCGAGTGATGAACAGCGTTTTCACACCCAACTTTCTGGACACATAGGTCTAGGACTGGTCGGTGAAATGTTGGGGGGTTGGGGGACTGAAATGTAGTTTGATTGGTCACTGGAAATGCATCTTTTGAGAGAAGGTTTCTGACTGGTGTTTGAGTGACTGCATGTAATGTTTAGTTAGACCTAGACCTATGATGCGCAACATGCGGGAATGCTCGTTCATGAATTTACGGAAGGGGGTGGTCGCTTGGAAAGCCACGTGGCTGTGCCGTCGTCTCTGTGACTATCACCAACAATTTCCTTTTAGGCTACCTGTTCCCGACATGTTATGGTGTGTTCATTACATTGAGTCTGTCTTTCTGCCCCCCCCCCCACACACACCCGTTCAACGCCTTTGTATTCTTAACCGCAGTCCTTCACAAAACAGTCACGTGTCGTCACACTATCGGCCCAAAGTGATCCCCCCCTCCCCAAAGGGAGGTCACTTGAAAATCAAGGCAATGAGATGACTGCGTCCCTTCCTCCCTTTTTTTCATGTAAAAGCACAATCCGTATAAACACACGCTAAGGAGCCCTCCCGAGTACCGTGCGTTTAGGCGGAGACTAGTGTACTGAAAATACGAAACAAATAAATCTAACTTGAAATTGGGGGGGGGGGGGGGGGGGTAACAGAACCACTGCTAACCGTGCAGGCACAAACAGTAGAGAATCTCTTCACAAACATTTAGATCATTTAGGAGGTAGGCTTCAACCCTGCCTTTCAGGGCCGACCGAGGCGGGGAGGGATTCACCGTCCCAGCAGAAAGGCTGAAATACTAAATAAAAAATTCTCCCCACATGAAAATCAAAATTGGTTCTTTTGTATGCAACAGCAAAGTGCCTGATCTCAACAGCACAGAAACTGTAGCTCCCTGCTTCAACCTAATAAGGATTTTTTTGTAATAAGTAGGGCATTTATTTCTTGGATGCCAGTTGGCTGTCAGAGGTATTTGATGACACAGTCTTACACATGGGAATTTAACTTATATATTTTGCATGCAGTGGCATAGAGCTAAACCATTATGACCCCAGAAGCTGGTAAACAAGATCCTAATTATTCTTGTTTTTGTTCAGTCTGACTTTCCCAAGCCTGTTTCTATATCAAATTAGTAGGGCTATTTGTTCTGCATGCAAAGGATGGACATGTTCGGCAAGACGTTTTATCAGTTATCTCCAAACCTTTTTTCTACTAGGATACAGCCAGACTCAAATTAGGTTGTCAGGCATGGTCAAAGCAGCCTGTCTCTTACATCGTCGAAATATGTTGATTGTGACTTAAGACATTTACTTACAAGAACTGATCTCTCAGGAGTGTATCAATCACTATTAGTATACATTTTGCTGGCATCTTGTAGAGTGAACTCAAACAAAAAAAAAATTATCATGTTCAAGTTGAGATATTGTAAACATCAAAATTTGGATGTAAAATAAAAACTGGTTGACATTTAGATTTGAGCGTAAAACTATTTTACTACTTTTATGTCACTACAGCAAAAGCTGGAAGCACAAGCCAGGAGAAACCCTATCCCTAACCCATACACCCAGACAAGTTCAAAGGTCGGCACAAGGAAAGCCATCGAGCCGTCCAGAGCCAAGTCGGGCAAATCAACCAAATCTCAGCCTGGCTCATCTCGTCAGTGAAGAGAGAAGACAGAGACAGAAGTGTTTGCAGACTTAAAGTTTTGTATTTTGTTCATCATTTTGTTTTCATGGTTTGACATGGGGTTTGGTTGTAATGGTAGGGGAAATGATTCTGTAATGTGCTTTAAAAAAAAATCTGTTGCGTTTTGACTAATAGTGCCATTGTATAGAGTCTATTGTGAGAAATGTTTTGTGGTCAGTTTAACTCTTTAAACCCTGAGTTATTTCCACTGTTTCCCATAGTTTTTCTCTACGGTCACCTAAACCTGGTGCGCTATGTCTCATTATAACCCCAAATGCTTGCCTCTAACTGCTAAATGACAGAAACAAAGGCTTAGTCATTACTAAGATAAGATAAAATAAGATACATCTTTATTGTCCAGATCCTGGCACATTGGTTTGGTGTTTCATCACATGTACACACACACACACATACACACACATACACACACACACACACACACACACACACACACACACACACACACACACACATGCGCGCGCGCACACGCGCACACACACACGCGCATACACATGCACACACACGTAGGCTTACAATCACATGCATAATATGATTGAGCAACAATATAAACAATAATAATCGTAAGCTAGATACACACTCAATGTTATTTTGATGCATGCTCTAAGGTCGTAAGTATACTTATACAAGATGGTTAAGATGGAAGCATTTTGATAGATGATGGTAAAAATGACCTTTTGTATCTTTCTTTGTTACAAATCAGAAGCCAAGGTCTTTTACTTCTGACTGATGTTTTTATTTGAGGGAACAAGGGATGTTTCCTCAAATAAAAACATCAGTCAGAAGTAAAAGACCTAGGGTTCTGATGATAATAAACTTGGTTCGGGAATAGTTCAGAAAAACGACAAAAACTAGCACTAAATGAAACAAAACAGTTGTCACTGATATCGGACGCTGAAGGGGAATAGGGTTATTACCGCCGGACGCGATGGGGTTGAAAGAGTTAAAGTTGCCTTCTTGACTAGTGAAATTTGTTTGTCATCAGAATCATCTCTTGTCTTTGCCGCTAATAATTTTTAAGGTATTTAACTCACTGCTGTTTTTTTTTTTCCTGAGATCCTACCGGTTATTATGTTTGCTGAACAATGTGGAGAGTTTGTTCTTAACGTACCCATTGTATTAACGTAGGGGTTAAGTTTAGTTCATGATTAGGTGGACGGCCTGCTGCAATTGGTGCTCTCAAAACACATTAAAATTTTGTTCGAGAGACAAAAAATTGATACATTTAAAGTTGTAAGTCATGTTTTTGTCACGGTGGAATGTGGTATTGACGTTCTTGGTTACCATAGAGCTCTCACATTTTAGTACAGATTGAGGGCTTTAGATGACAAAACTTTTTGAAAGTGATTTTGGCAAAAAAATATTGGTTGCGAGAGCATTTCAATAAGTCGGTGAAATATTCCCAAAATCAGGATTGTAATGAAATATGTACACATATTTATACATACCTTCTCCATGGTTCCACCTTTTGTGGAAATCTTCTCTATTGGTGCTTTCCCGTATTATTGTGTTAGTTTTGATCATACACCAAATAGATCTTTCTTGCCCAGAATGTTAAGTGAACCCTTGTTGTGCAGATAAATTTTCTTTGCTGTCTGTTTCCCCTCAGGACTTTCGCAGGACATCTTTCTTGATATGCCAGGTCCTTCCTGAGTATTTCTGATTATATCTAATCCTGTTTTTTTCACCTGTATCAATTCTTTTTTACAGTTACCACTGTGTTTAAGTACCAAATGTTGTCTTCATAGAAAAGTTTAGGTATTGATTGTATCATCATTCAAGTGCCGTATTTAAAATGTGATTTTTAAAATTCTCTTCTCCAGCAGTATTTTTGTATATTGTACGGGATTTTTTTCCTGCAGAGATAAGTTTTAATATATTATCTTAGTTTAATCCTTTTTATTAGAATACATTTACATTTTGAAATAGAGAATACAAATGTTGTTTAAGAATTTTGTGATTTGCCTTCTGAAATGTGCTTTTTCTTCTTGCCGAGGTTTTGCTGGTTTTAATGAGCCAAATTTTCCTTCCATTTTTTCATAAGGCAAGTTTATCAATAGGGAATTAAGGGAGTAGGTAGTTGTCATTGTTTTTAAAATTTTTGTTTCTGTTTGTTTACTCTGTCTGAATTTATTAGTAAACATATATTTTACAAAACTATTTTGTTCATCAGGTGATTGTTGGTGATGTTAATTTTGAGATGATAAGATTAATTAAATAGGCAGTATCTGGATCTGACCCTCATCATATTTTGCTTACTGTTAAAATTATAATTTTTATATGGATTTGTTTTATTGCGATGTGTGGGTGGGTATATTGTTTCATGTTGTGGTGTTGTTTAGATCAAAGAATTTTGCAGTGGTAAAAATTGTGATTAACCAGATAAATTCTCTTTGCTGTCAGTTTCCCCTCAGGACTTTTGCAGGACATCTTTCTTGATATGCCAGGTCCTTCCAGTTCTTACCAGCTGGTACCAACATCAACCACGTATTGGTTAGGTTCTTTGACTTTTTTTTACACTACCAAGACATATCATTTGTGTCTAATTTCAACTACGGGAAGTCTATTATGATGAGTATCTTCATCTTTCTTCTGGAATGTTGTGAAATGATGATAAGAATAATTGCATATAGCACAAACCATTCTCTGTACAGCATGTTCCATGCACTTAACATCTATTATTATGTCAGAAAATGGTAGAACTCCTCAGAAACATTTTCGGCTTCCTTGGAAGCTAACAGTGCAGGCAGCCGATTAATTTGTCAAACACTAACAAACTCACAAGATCTTTGTCGTCTCTTGACGAGTATTCTTTCCCACCAATGATGAAGTAAGGAGAATTTGGTCCCACTTTAGTTGAAGGTCTACCGTGCTACAGTGGTCTACCGTAAGTCCAGTCTAATTGAATATGGTGTACTGTGAAGTCCTTCCTGATTAGCCTCAGTGACAAAAGCGCTGGGGTCGTTTAGACCAAAGGTGATGGCTTTACACAGTTTTATTGCTGTTTGCAGGTGGGTAGATTGTTTCATGTTGTGATGTGGTTTAGATCAATAAATTTTGCATTGGTAAAGTCACAACTGTAAGTGACCAAAGGGGACCATTTTCAAGAACTCTGGTAAACAAACAGTTTGAAACAGATATATATAAAAGACATCTTCCGAGTTAAAAAGGCAAATGACAAAAACCTTCCCCTAGGTGCTGATACCTCTAGCTCAGGTATTGTCTTACTTGACAATCATTGGAGCATCTTTGGAATAAATTACCAGTATGACTTTTTCGGAAAAGTCTACTTACACCCTCCTTTCAGAACTTACATGACCTACCAGGCACATTTAGGTTTCAACTCTGTTTTGGGTCGCACATGCCATGCACTAAAGATGTTTTCAACTTCATTTTAGAATAGGAGGTCTGAAGACTTTTTCCCCTTTTTTTAGAGCTTCAGTTGTTTGAAGAGCAGTCAGTTTGTATAGTTTGGATTTTGGTGAAAGGTATTGGAATGCTTGTTCTACCTCTTACATGATTTTTATTGCATTAAAGAGACATTACTCTTCATAACATTCCAAGAGAAGTTCCTATGTATATTGGCCTTAATGTGCTCCCCTACTTATTGTGACAGTTTTAATTCTCGTAAAATTGTTTATGTCCCATTTTTTTTTAAATTAAAAGAAGAAAAACAAAAACAAAAAACAACTTAGGCCCTACCAATCTCTTGGTATTTCTCTTCACATACATTTATAAAATGCTGTGAATTGTGATTTTATTGGTCCAAGGAGATACAGTCTAACCTGCTCTAAAGGCTACCTGTATAAAGTAGGTCTATAAGACAGTCACCTATTCAGACGACCTCTACCCATTTCCTCCCTCGCACATTTTTAAAATTGTAATGACAATGTGAGATGACTGCCTAGCTAAGACAGTCACTTTTCTCCTTGACAGTGCCTTGCCATCTAAGACAGTTTTGACTGTACTTTATTTTTCTAAAGTTTTAAGAATATGAACTTCTTATCTTATTTTTTTGTTTCTACCTTCTGTCTCCAGTAGTTTCTAATGCCCTGTGATATTTTCCCCTCAATCTTTTTAGTAAAGTTTGATCTCTTTGTCCATATGTCTTTTAAAAGCCTAGTCATTTCCCACTGATTTCTTTAATCTTTTTTCCTTCCTTTTTCTTTAACTGCATATTTGTACATGCTTCATGTAGCTTTACTGTGATATGTTTATATATTATATACAGGTTTAACATTTGAATGATTTTGCAACAAAATTGGACATTTTCGTTTTTATGGATGAAATCTATGGATTAAAATCCTGTAAATCTATGTGATCTCCTCATGATTTTTTTAAAAGGTTACAGAACCTTATTTAAAAAAAATAATTGTAAAAAAACAACAGCACCATATTAAAATTGTTGTTTTTTAACAAATTTTTAAAAGAAAATATTAATTTCTAGAACCTTTGGGTTTGGCATAAACATAATCATTGAGACTAGTATTCATAAAACTACCTTGATAAGGATACTAACAGAATCAATGATTTTGTAAAACTGTTTCCATAAGAAAGCAAAATGTAGCAATTTCTCTCCCTTAGTCTTTGCATAACAGTTCACATCTCTTTGCTTTAAATTCTTCAGAGAGAGGTAGTCATTGAATCTGAGAAATTTTGAAACATAATGATAATATGACAAAGAATAATCAGGGAAAGAATTAGCAGTCAACAAACTTATATCCATTACAAATAAAGTTTCATGACTCAAGGAAAAAAGAACGCGATTGGCATGTACAGTATGATTTTACAAAGACTGCTTTTGTTCTTTAGTAAAAAAGCATCACTTAACAGAGGGATAAATTGTGCTTAATTAAGACCAATTTTACAAATCGTTGTGCCTGACAAGATCATGAATTCTAAAGATATTCAAAAATGGATAATTAGTCCAATTAGTTTATTGCTTGTGCGCCCAGTGATGGAGAAAATCAGTTTTTTTCCTCCGGTATAATTTGTAGTGTGTAGAATTCATGATTTTATCAGGTGACCAGCTAAATGGAATTTTTCATATCTGGCGCCAGTTCCAGTCAAACTTTGTAAATGGCATTTGGAATAT